TTTTAATTAATTAAAAAATATCAGCTGGGACCTGTCTGTGTGACTGTGCTACACGTCAACACAACAGCATGTCCATATGCAAGCAAGCATGCTTGACTGACATCACAACAGTGTGAAAGATGGGTGGGAGGAAATGTAAAAGGGAAGAAGAGATAATTGAAACAGTTATCGTTGTTAACTGGACCGTGTAAATGACTAGTAAATACCATTTACTTTGTTTGTTGTTCTGTAAACGGCCAAAAGATTAACAACATGTTTGTTATCTGACAATTAAACCTCCAGTTTTGTTTTTTTTGAATGCTTTTGAAGTGAAACAGGAAATTGATAAGAACCAGAATCGATACAATTCAAACAATACCCTGCCCAATTAGTGGCCAACAGTTGTAAAACCTTGCATATTTTGGCTAATCCTCCACCACCTTCGTTCAATTTCAGTTCTGGAAGTCCAACCCCAGTATTCTAGCGGTGCAGAGGTCTGCTATGCTCCGAAAACAGCAGCTTCAGCATCAGCAGCAACAGCTTCAGCAAAGACAAAGCTCCTCAAATAGTGGATCCAATGAGGTTTGTTTTAATCTTGTCTAATGACCAATATACATTTTCTGTTTAACTGGCAACTAATTTACACCATTGTCAGATACATTTACAATCTGTAGATTGATTAATCAACATTCTGTCTTTGATTCAAATTTTTAAGGACTCATCAAGTGATGAATCTGATTCATCAAGTGGATCCAAAAGGAAAAGAAATTCAGGTTCCTCTGACTCCGGATCAGGTTCTGGATCTGGGAGTGGTTCTGGATCAGACTCCTCAGCAGAGGAGAAGAGTGATGAAACGGCATCAGACTATGAGCCCAGTCACAAAATGAAAAGCAGAAAACCTCCAACCAAGTAAGTGGACATCTGCACTTCAGAGGCTGCCTGGATACACAGGGTTACATTATTGTCCAGGGCATAACACCTACATTTTTCATAAAGACATTTAAGGAGCGCAATGAAAATTTATCAAATAATGTAATGTTTTTCTTGAATATGAAGACATGTACAAGCAGTATGATTTAATTTGAAAAGAAAAGG